CTTCAAAAATCCAAACTTTAATTCATAAAAATCGTTTCTTGACGATTTTTTTAACCAAATACATCAAAATCACACGTCTCCTTCTCTCTATCTATCATACAAAGACGGGAAAAAATGGTAGTACTTTGAAGAAAGTGAAAACTCGGGTTTGGTTGTTTTCAGTTTGCTAAATAAAAGAAATCATTTTCGCATTTATTATTAGTATATAATAATAAATATAATATATATAAAAATGGAAAATTTGAGGTACAAAGTGTGCACCAATAAGATCCCAGATCTGTATAAGGGACCCACGCGCAAATTGATTGAAAAATGAGGGACCTATATTGTATTTTAGTAAAAATCTAGCAAGGAGAAGATGAACTTTTGCCGGTGCTAAGGTTGAAGCTATTTTTAGTTTGAAGAGACAAAAAAGGTGAAAAACTAGGGGTGGTAAATCAACAATGTGACCTACATTTCCGCTTTAATTTGTTTATCTTAGTTTATTTTTTACAAAAAATATTAACTTTTCATGCTTAAAATTATAAGTAAATCTTAATAACATAATCAATTGACTAATTTTTTCTGATTTCTCCTTTTTTTATTATACTTTTTTACTATCTGCGTTGTCAATTTTTTCTGATTTCTCTTTTTTTAATTATATTTTTTAAAAACATATATATATATATATATATATATGGAGATATATATATATATATATATATGGAGACGGAGAATGAATGACAAAATTGAAGTATATTTAAGTGTATTTTATGTCTCAATTATAAATGAATTATAATAGTCAATAAATAGCATTAAAGCCCCACTAAGTGAGCCTGGATGATAGAATATACGTAAATTTTATCGCTACTTCATTGAGGTAGAGATGTTGTCAAAAGACATTTTGCTCAAGTGCATTAAATTCAAGTGAAAGAAGAAAAAAATAACGACGAATTTATAGAAAATAAGAAAAGCAGTGTACAAGTAGTAATCGAAACAAAATGAATAACACATGGTGTTAAGCATATCAAAAACAAGAATTACAAGTGTGCGATTGCAAGCACTAACAAGCGCCAAACCTCACAGGTAAGACATCACTCTATCTCTACTAACTTTTTACCTTGATACGCGACCTTCACTCCTTCGTATACGGCGTCATTGATAATTTTTAAAATGGAATAAATAGCATTCAATCTTTTTTTGGTTTCAATGGCAAGTACAAGTAGGTGTCGTCTTTCTAGTGAAATAGTCGGTAGAAATTGACGGTCGAGATCGTTTAATCAATGAAATATTGATTTTTCAGATGCCTTAGATGGTAGTAAAGGGGTGGGACCCGTAGGATGTTTGTTCTATTTTGGAATGGTGGACCAGGGATATAGTGTGGACCACGATGTAGACTAACTGCCCCTTTCTTTTGAGAATCTAACGCTTTTTGACGGTGGTTTTATAATTTAATTTTTTATTTTTGACTAATCGTTGTTTCTCTTAAATATTTTTTATAATTATTTAATTTTAAAATAATAATATTTTATTTTTTAAATCCCATAAAAAATCAAAAACAGATTAAAAGAATAGAATAAAAAATACTCATAATTAGCTGAAAATTTAGGAGATCCTTAATTTGCGTACGTTTGAGGAAGACATGGGAACTACTACTTAATTAATGTTTCATAAATGCAGTCTTATCACTTTATATAAGCACAATCATGTTATTGCAATTAAAAAAAAAAAGACTCAAATATGTCATGGAATTTTTATAAAATTTTTATTTATACTATCAGTTAAAAGTTTGACTCATTTATGTCATTACTATTAAAGAAAAGGTTCATTCATGCCATCATTTTCTAATGGTGATTTAGCAAAATAATTTTTGACACGTGACCAATTATAATTCGGCCAAGTCATCAATTTTTTAAACTAAAAAATCATAATTCTGAAAAGAAAAAAAAAGTGAATTAATAATTTTTTAATTTTTTTATTAAATAACCAAACTATAATTGGCCACGTCATCAATTTTTTAAATTAAAAAAAATAAAATTCTAAATAAATATTGAATTTGTTTTTTAATTTTTTTATTAAAAAATGATGATGTGACCGAATTATAATTGACCACGTGTTAAAATGGTTTTGCAAAATCACCATTTAAAATAATGACATGAATGAGTCTTTTTTTAACGATAATAGTATAAATGAGCTAAACTTTTAACCAATGACATAAATGAGCATTTCATTGATGACATATTTGAGCCTTTTCCCCTTAAAAAAAATGATTAAAATTTTAAAAACAATTTTTGATTAAAAAATTTTAAAAACAAATTTTTGATTAAAAAAATTAATAATCATAATGTATTTTTTATCTAAAACAATTTTTTGCAAATTAAACATACGTGTCATTAGAAAATTAAACAAAATAACTCCAAAAGAAAATTTCCTCTTTTTTTTCTGATGACTTGCTATGCCAAAAAGGTTAATGAAAATTCTGAGTATAAAAATAAGTAAGGGATAAAATTAGCTAAGTGATAAGAATAATGACATAATTGAAGAAGCAATAATAATAAAATTAAAATCATATCTTAAAAAGTTATATGTTACTTACCATAACCGACAAGACAATTAAGTTTCTATCTCAGTTATTAATATTTTAGGTAAATTAAATATATATACAAAAATAATTTTTCAGGATCAAGATCCAACTAAATATGCATAAAGTAATCATATAGTACAAATTTGTATTTATTTTTCATTACTTAAATAAGAAAAAGGGAAAAAATGTCTTGATATTTTTTTGCCTTTTTCTCTATCGTGCATTATTATATTGTCACTTTGTCAGCATGTTCATATTCTATTAACACCAGAGATCTAGCCTAATTTTATTTTTTTTAATTTATAGTTTATGCTGGGCTCAATAAATAATTAAAAATATTTAAGATGTAGAGATTTTTTATTGAAAAATTTCATAAGTTTATTTGTTCAAATTATTATCTAAAAGTTAAATTTTGAAAGAAAATATATCTGATTTTCAGAATGAGTTAAAGATGTACAATTAAATTTATATGTTCCGACTGTATTGCTACAATACTAATAAAAAAATTATTTAATTTAATTAATTATGAGAGATATTTAAATAAATTATTGTTTATGTCTTTTTCGTAGAGTCACGTTGGTCAAGAGATTAGACTTGTATCGTTTTGGGATTGATCGTTAGATATTATTTCTGTCTCTAATTACTTGTTTATTTTTAAATTGAAATATTTATTAAGAAAATAATTAATAATATTATGAGTTTATCATTTTACTTTTTTTAATTATGAGCTAGATGAAAATTTTTATATTTTTTAAAGTAATAAGTTTTTAATTAAGGATATAATAGATAAAAAATTTATTCTTTTTTTATTTATCGAAATGAACAAATAATTAAGAACAATTATAAAAAAAACAAATAATTAAGAACGGATGAAGTATCAAATATAGTAGTTTTTAATGGATGAAACAAGTGTAATCATTTGCATTTTCAATTTTTTCATTCCTTTTTGCTGTCTTCCATTATTATTCAAACACTAGTAATTAAAGTAAAGATCTCAAAAATTTAACTATTAAGTTATATGGTTAAATCTTTTTAACACCAGTTTTAATAAATTTTAATCAATTCTAATTAACACAAAATCGTCTGAATAAAAAGCTGATAACTTAATATGGAACATTCAAACCCTTAACAAAAGCTCCTCAAAAGTAGTTGTCAATGTCATAGCTATTTATAGAAGTACGATTAAGTAATGAACAAGTTATACTTCACTACTAGATACATTTCGATAAAATCTTTATAACTTTTTCCGATATTTTTAAGGTATGAACATTGCGATGAATTACTAATATAGATTATCCCGTACTGGTGAAAGTACTTCACCCTTAATTAAAGATCTTAAATTTGATTTCTGAGTATAAAGAGAATCTAATTGGAAGCGTCACCTTCAAATGAGCCCTGCACAACGCGATCCAAATTTAATCGAAACTCCTATATGTTTATTTCGAATATTGGTTAGAAAATAAAAGAAAACATTATAATGAATTGTCATACAAAAAGTAATATATCTTTTTAATTTTCCGCTTGATATCCGAAATCTATATTAAAGCTTCGATTAAATTCAGATCGCGCTCCAATAGAAAAGTAGTGTTGGTTGTAGTGGAAACTGTGCCTATTTTATTATTGAATGAACATGTGGATTTCACTTCTCTTTTAAGCCAACAAGCCAATGAACAAAGACTGTACAAAAAATTGTCTGAATTGTATCGTAAAATTGAATTTATTAAATGTGTTTATTTTACTTTTTATTGAATTTGACACGTGTCTTGTGTATTTTAATTGCAGACTCATAAATTTTCATTTTTGGAATGACACGTGTAACTAGCACACATAACGAGCAAATTGCACTGTGTACTATACATCAAGAGGGAATTAACATGCAAATATCACAAGAGGAACATTACTATGGAAAATATTATACACCCCCTTAAATTATAATTTAGAAAAAATATCTCTCTCATTAAAAGAATTTGATATAAAAATATCTTAATTGTTTAACAAATAATATATATATCTTCGTTATCTAATAAATGATATATATTTATTATTAAATATAATTTAATAAATATGATTTGAGATGTACGTAAATTTTATTTTCTGTTTTAAAGGTAGAGACACTAATATATATTTACACTCATCGTATAACAAATGTACTATATATGTATTTGACTTTTTAACGAGGTTATATCCGTTCTAAATCAAAAGGTTTGAGATTATATATACTTCTTCTGATTAAAAAAGGAATGACTTTTTAATTTTACAGTTTTAAATAAAAGTTATGTCAAATATATCAAAATGACCTTTAATCTTATGGTGTTAAACATGTCAGATGAAAAATTTAAAAAATTTTTTAAAACAAATTAAGGACATTTTTTTTTAAGACGAAGAGAGTATATTTTTCTCTTTAAATATTGGTACTTCTACTCCACTTTAATTTTCTTTTCACCCCCTAAACTTCTCAAAAACCACATATCCACAATCCTTAGCCCCTTATCTTCACCAAAACTCCAAATTCTCTTCAAAGCTTTGAACTTTTAAAGAATGGCTGGCAATTTATGTATAACTCTCACTCAATCTTCACCCTTTTCACCAAAACTTTATTATTCATCAAAACCCCTTCTTCAGAAATCACATAGAATCTCTATTGCCCCATTTCTCAAATTTCAAGATTCAGCTCCTAGTCAAGGTTCTACAAGAGGGTTCACTACTATATGTTTTTCTAGTCCCAGAAATGGTCCTGGTTATAAAGTAAGTATAGTAAACTTCAAATTGTGATTAAGGGTATATCTTTTTTTATGCTATGTATATATTAGGTGGAAGTAATTGTGCTATGTTTATGGAATCTTGAAATTGAAAATGATAAATTTGAATGCTTTTGGAATGAGCTTCTTAGATTGGTTTTTCTCTGTGAGTAATTTTTTTTTTGTGTTTTTTTTTTCTACAGGGAGGTGGACCTGATTGGCCAATTTTGAGACGCTGGGATGTGCCATGGAATTGGCAAACTGTTTCACTTTCTTCACTTGCATGTGGATTAAGGTGTAATTTTGTTACCTGGCTAAGGTTTTAAACATGTTGCTCGGACTCTTCAAAAATGTTTGATTAGTGCATGTTGGATCCTTCAAAAGTAGTGCATTTTTTTTTGAAGGATCCGACATGTGTGTGGCATCATTTTTGGAGAGTTTGAGCAACATAGGTTTGAATGTCTGAGTAATGAAGTATTATCTTATTGTGAAATGTAAAAAGATTGAACCTTTTTTATAATGGGATGTATTATTGCAACTGAGCATGACAGAAGATTTATGAACTGTAACATTTTATTTGATAATGGTAGTTTTATTCCTTTTGTTGGTGTAAAATATCTTTGTAAGTTGAAATTTATGTTTTGTCTTTGAACTTGGAAGCATAATGGGGTAACTAGTAACCAGTATTGGTCTTGGTAGGAAAAAGCTAACTAATATTCAGGCAGTTTTGTTTTGACAGGACTAATCGAGGCAGCGTCAATACCCTATGTAGGACTTGATGTAGAAGCATTGAGCTTGGACGAGAAGGCTGAAATTTTGTTCGCTGATCAAGCGTATGGACAGTCATTTTAGCATTGTTTCCATATTGTGTCGAATCTTGATGATTCTGATGTTTCGTGTATTTCTTTTTTCAGTATAACAACTGCAGTTGTGCTAATAGTCCTTTATGCTCTCACCAAGTCATCTCAACCACTTCCTGATGACATATATCGTTATGGTAATTAGCATTTCCACGTTATGGGATGATTCATTCATCTGTTGCTTTGTTTGGTGAGAAAACTGGATTGCAGTTTCCTCTACTCTAAAAGATTACAGTGTGGTTGATTATGATCTGTTAGTATTCCAGATCTGAAGGAACCTTTCAATCTCCAGAGAGGATGGCTTTTGTGGGCTGGAATTGGTCTAGGGGGAGCAATAGGTGCAATTGCTTTAACAGGAGTAGCAATGTCTGCTTTCAATGGTGAGCCGCCACAAAGAGAGGTTAGAGTTGAACTTAACAGTTTATCCAATCTCTCGGATTAAGAATTTCATTCTTTGTATAACCTTTGAAGCAAATTAAATTTCATTTTTCTCTCCTGTGATGTTTTCTTTTTCCCTCGTGAATTCCTTAAAACTTATTACAGACTGATGCGCTTGCTCGGTTACTCCCATTGATAGGCTCCTCAAGTATCAGGTATTTTCGAAGGAAGTTTGAAGTTCATCTGTAAATTATCTCTGTCATCAATAGGTTAATTGCTTTTGTGTTGACGGCTTTCCAGCCACTTATTGAGTACTTATGCATGATATACAATTGAGTAACCACCTTTCTTTTTTTTATGTAGCACTGCTTCTCTGCTGGGCATTACCGGTGTACTTGCTCCAATTCTCGAGGAGACTGTGTTTAGAGGATTTTTTATGGTCTCTCTGACTAAGTGGTATAATTCTTTCTTTATAAATTTGATTTTAGATATACTACTGCTTCCCATTTGTTAGAACTGGCTCTATGTGTCTGAGTCTCCCGGACTTTGTTGAAGAACTTCAAAAAGAAGGGACAAAAAGTTTTGAATTGCTCAAGATTTGATAACGTTGTTACTCCACTGGATCATTATCTCTTGTGAGCATAAAAACACAATAAACATGTAAACATTCTTTTTTCACTAGTTGATCTACTATCTTACTTTTATATTCCCTCATTGTCTAGAAGCTCCTGTCATGAAAGATGAATACGAATTAGTAGGGCTGCCCCTAATAACTCTTTTTGAGTGGACATCTAAGATATCATCATGCCAAGCACAAAACAGGCTAGCAAAGACCAATAGCCTGACCTTTCTGTATCCTTCGACTAGAAAGCAATTGAGAGAGGTTGTCAAACCCAAAATGGAGTTGAGTCGTTAAACTCATTTTGACCTTGTTTGGATTTCATTCATGAGCTAAACAGATAAAAGCACATTTAAATGAATAAACGAGACCACATGTAAGACTTTTGGACTTTGTTAGCTCTATCATAAATAAGGCTCATTGTAATAGAGCTAACAAACTCAACTCTTCTGTACCTATTTTGCTATCATGCATCTTCTTGATGCCATTTATAAAACTACATCATAAAAAAGAATAAAAGAAAAATCAGTGGAAGAAAATTGTCTTATGACTTTATTACTTGTGGCTGATTCATATATACACATGCATGTCTATTGTCGACATGTGACTTGATGCTTCATTGTCTCTCAAGCTTTTCCATTTTTCCTTGCAGGGTACCTACACCGCTTGCAGCGGTTATTAGTGGTGCTGTATTTGCTCTTGCACATCTCACTCCTGGACAATTTCCTCAGTTGTTTGTTCTTGGTATTGCTTCCATTTTCTTAAATGTATACGACACTGAACGAAAGTAGAGGAAAAGCAGAAATTACAAAAAGGAATAACATAATTGGGTTTTACTTCTGAAAGTTCTCAAAAAGATCTATTTATGAAGGAGAAAATAGTTATAGTAAGAATTGATTTTACCTTGTAAGACATGATCAACAACTTTCTGTAGTTTTTGAGCTTTTATTCAATTTTAGAGGAATGAAATGAATTCAAACATGGTAAAAATGGATACAAAGGGTTCATGTAGTGTACCTCTACTAGTTTGGAATTGAAGCACCGTTGAGGCAAATACTTAAATTGATTCTACCCTTTCTTATAGTGCATTTTTCTTCATGTTTAATCTGAGCTGAAAAATGACATGCTTTCAGGGACTGCTCTGGGTTTTTCTTATGCTCAAACGCGAAACCTCCTAACCCCAATCACAATTCATGCTTTATGGAACTCTGGTGTTATTTTGCTTCTTACCTTCCTTCAGGTAATCTGTTCCTCATTGTCATTTAAAGCATGGCAACAGTATTTGTTGCCATGTTGCTTTCTGTGAATATGCTAGTCTGATTTCTTCCTCTTGAACTCTTTTTTGTGTAGCTCCAAGGATATGATATCAGGGAAATAATACAAGGAACTTGACTTGGGCACCATAATTCTCTGGACAAAGTCGTCTTCATCAGCTTGTCGCAGTTGCTGAACGTAGGAACGAATCTGGTTTTATTTTCTGTAATTTAGGCCAAATGCTGGTTGGAGCTTGCAAGTAATGTGGGAAGCCGAAAAATCCACAAGGAAGCTTCTGTTCATTTTTCAATAATCTAGTATACTATTTGGTGTAGGTTTTGAGTACACAGTTCTCATATAATGTATCCTTGTGAGTACATGTTGATCGTGATCGTTGTATGAATGAATTTTTGGTAGCCATATTGCTTTGTTTGGACATGTTTCTATCCAAAACTCGATGATATGAAACTCTCTTTCACACTCTACAGACATTCAAATAGATAGTAGACTGAAAAGGTTACTAAATGATATATGGTTCTCTTCACATCCTTATAGACATTCAGATCTTTGGTAGAATTAAGAAGGGTCACAGCAAATCCTGTTGGCACAAACATGAATGTCTCACTAGTATTAAATTATTGAAGTTCAGTATTTGCAAATAAGCTGAGTATTTGTATATGCTGAAATATTATTTATGACTAAGGCATAATATGAACCATGTTTAGAAGAAAGATGAAACTCAAATCACATACATATTAGTACTTAGCTGTACATCTGTTTCTTAGAGTACTGCATATATGTTGCAGCTTCATGCAGTTTTAAAGACAAAAGGTAGTCAACAATGCATAACAGTTTTCTTATGATCACACCCTATTACATTATATATATATCAGCTTAACGCTCGACTGGAATCTCATTTCAACACTAATCTGTGACTCAGTTGAGCCCTGAGAGATGACAAGTTGAGAACTGGCCTGTTACGTGCTTTGTCCTTCTTAATCTGGATTAGCTGGTCATAAACACACCAGGGAAAGCTAATGAAATGAGCTCTTTTCAACCCCTGATTGTAGCAACCCCAATATGTAGGATGATATGTAACGTGGTACCAAGCCGAAGCCTTTGGTAACATGTCATCTATATCATTACGCCTCTTGAACCAGGCTCTTGCCTCCTTCCTCAAGGCCCTCACAGCAACACTAATGGCCTCAGCATCTTTTCTGCGGTCAAAAGTTTTTGATGCCTTCATAATGCCACCACTAAGTATTTCAGCCTCTGTTTTTATGCCATAGTAGTCCATTAAATTACCCAGCTTGTTGTCATATTCAGTTTTGTAGTCAAAAGCTTCGTCAATGTAATCTTCAAATCCATCAACTTCCATATCAGCATCATATGATCTCCTTGCAACATCTCTTGTGAAGGTCGCGATAGAGCTAGCCTGAGGTGCTTTGTCCTTCACTTTCCTGAAAAGCTTTCCAATAACTCTTTCTGAGATATAGCTGGTCTTGTCCGGCTTATCCATGAAGTCTGGGTATTCTTTAGGGCGCAACTGAGATGGTATTTCAGCGGGAACACCAGTCTTTGGAAAGTCCACTGCAATTGAAAAGAGCTCAGCAAGTTTTTTGCATGGATCACTCATGGCCATATCAGGTTCTCTGTCTGCAAATACGACATGGGCATTTGCTATGATTCCCAAACTGTCATTCACAATATAGTTGGTGAAGTACTCTTCAACTTCCTGCAGTAGGTAGACAGGTGAAAGGGAGTTCCTCAGTACTTGCACATACTGGCCAATCCCCCCTGCCCCACAACAAACAAAAAAAAACTGAAGAGTTCCTCAGTACTTGTATCGCATTACACATCTTATAAGTATGATTTCAAGAGTCAATGCTGTTCCATTTTTTTTTTTTTGGTCTCATGAATTGATAGATCCTAGAGAAGGAGATCTCAGCAATAGAAAAGTACAGTAACCAGTCTGTAGTTGATGCACCTAACACTCGCACTAAACTAGATTTGACTGAATCTAAGTCTTCGAGAAGGTAATCTCAGCAATAGAATTAGTGGACTAATATGAAGCGTTGACAAAAAAAGGATTAGAAGGAAAGAAAAATATCAGGATCATGTAAGGTAAGAGTGGTTGAACATCGTGATGCATCAGAGTCATGATACTTTTGGAAGTAAAACTAGTTGTTCGAAACTAAGGGTACCTCAATTGTGACATCATGGTCCAACTGTATGCTGGGTGCTGGAGGATATTCCATCGGCTGGACTTGCCTTGGCGGGATCATGTCTTGATCCCAGCAAACAAAGTAGATATCCCCATCCAAATCACTCCCAGAACATTCATTCGGATGAGGTCTGTCATCAAAGTTTTAACACTTGAGTAACAATGCCATAAAAAAGAATTAAAGATAGAAAGCGTTGACAAGGGTGGAAGCTAGTTTTACACTTTTACTAGAAAGAACAATTAATAAAGTTAACACATTCTTCCATGAACAAAAGTTGAGAATATTCCAGATAGATGAAGTACTGATGAATTATACAACAAAAACATACCCAGTAAGATACCACAAAGTGAGGTCTGAGGAGAGTAGAGTGTACGCAAATTACCTCTGCCTCAGAGGTAGGGAGGCAGTTGAAATACATACCTAGTCTGGAGAGTTACAAGTTGAATAATTGCGTAGCCAGTAGGAAAATGATTTCCTCCCATAAGTTAGTGTAGAATATGGGAAGGAAGAAAAGACTTCTTTGTATTTCAATATGCCTTTACATCTCATGACTCATGAGAAGGGGATATTATACAAGTGAATCTTAACTAATTAAGGAAAGACAGTCAATTACTCCCTCTGTCGCTTTTTGCTTCCCGAGAATCAATTTGACTATCTTTGAAACTAATTTGGATTAGAGCATTAGTAAAAGACCAGGCAAGAAATGGTTAAGCCTTCTATAAACTTACAAGTAAACAGTTAATAGGTTTCCAACGTAAAATTTACCTTTTTCCTTTCTGAGGGAATACAACACAATCTACCATGTGGTGCAGCGCTCGAACATTTACAGCCTTTAAAACACGAATATCACCAGGATGCAAGCATGGATTTTTTGCAACAACCACATTTCCCTTCAGAATGAAATTACTGTTGGTGGATCTGCTGTTATTAAATGGATGTAAATCGTCAGAAAACTCTCCATGTCCAGCACCAGTAAACTGAACAAACACCTGACCATATTCCAAGGTTCTGGATTCATCCAAACATCCCATCATTGTTCTTCCATTTGGAATAAATATTCTTGATCTAGTCCGCAAATCGAGCAACTTGGATGCGCGGAAGGTTTGCAACATCATTGAAAGAAAGGGCTCAGCATCAGGCTTATAACCACAGTTTAGCATTGCCTTGAGAATATTAGTGTTCTCTCCAGGAGACATCAATTCCAAAGCCTCCTGTGCCTTCAAAGAATCATGCAAGATAGCATCAAGCTGATCTACAGCTTCCTTTTGCTTCTGTTCGAGAACTTCATCTTTCACTCCAAGTGTAGACAAGAGAGTAATCAGTTGACGATTAAGATAACAAGGCTGATATTTGCTCCATCCAAGGACATCTAACTTTATGTTGTCTGATTCATATTTCGACATGCTCTTTCTCAAAGACAACTTCATTGATGAATCCGGATCAACACCCACAACACCTTTATATCCACCATAACGAATCTGGAAAGCAGATGGGGTATATTGAAGGCCACATTTTGAGGCAACTCTATGAGCAAAGTCACCAGATATTTTACCAATTCCATCAGAAAAGACATAGCTGGTTCCATGAACCTTTACATCGGGAATAACTTCAATCTCATGCCTAAGAACACTCAAAGTCTCTCTGGAGGAACCAAAAGATTGACCAAGTCTGGCAGCATATTTTGCGACATTCTTGATCTGCGAAAAATCACCCATCCAAGCTCTTATATCATTTGCAGTAAGGCCAGGTCTTGATGCAAACATCCACACTGAATTATCCCGCAACTGGCTCGATGAAAATGCAAGAAATTCAAATTTTTTATCACCAATTACAAAGCCTTTCCGCAGAGTTGATAAGATCCTCTCATAGATGTTTGTCCTGACACCACTTCCAGTACTTGCTTTTGGTAATAAGTCTGTAGAATACAGTTTCTCCCACTCCTCATCAACAAAAGAAACACGAAGAAAGTTATCTATGTCTTCAGAATAATTGCGGAGAACCCGATTGGAAACATTAACCTCTGGACCACAAAAATAAACTTTGCATGGTGTTACTAGGACCCTTCTTACATACACCAACCCATCATCTAAAGTGATGGACGGAGATTTTGGAGGTTGTCTACCCTTGAGATACCCATCATACTGCTCAGTGAGCCACCTCACCGGATCATAACAGCACTCCTTTATATAGTACAGTTTCTCTAAGGCATGCTCAATGCATGCCACATTTCTCCTTCGAGGATCAACTAATCGGAAAAAGTAGACATTTAATGCTGGCCCAGGTATGCATCCATGCTGTACCAAAGAACTAATTTTGAACAAAATCTTGTAGGGAATTGAAATTCCTTCCGGAGGCTGGACATTGGGAACCAGAGCCGATTTTTGAGAGACGAAAAAGGTGAAACCAGTCTGTAAAGTAATATTGTTTTCACGTTCTGCATAGTGGAAAAAACTTTCCTCGAAATTTGGAAGACGAACACCCCTACGGAACTGCAAACATAAGCTAGAAGATAGCCCTATCCAAGATGGAGGGAAATCTGTTGTCCTCACCCACTGATCATCAGGAGTTTCCTTAAAGAAGCTATAACAGGAGTTTTCAAGTCTCTTATAGATCCGAGGAGCACCAAATAACTAAATCATAGAAATCGAATGAATAAATCAATACTGAATCTTATCATAAATCAGCAAAGTAGACTACTGATCTAAACAGAATTTAATTATATGAAGGAATGTATTAACTGATGCAACTATACTCGTGAGGACATTCTGCAAACACAGTAGAAGAGTTGCTTTCACGTTTTTAAAAGATCACGAGCAGACAAGTACAAGTATTGAAGAAGTTGAAAAATGTGGACTTATATTTGTTAACTAATATAAATATGCAAGTTAGAAGCTTGGTTTATTTAATTAACCAGCGGTACCAAGCCTGTGTAGAGCACAGGCCCAAGTTTATCATCTTTACTAAACACGTTTTTTCTTATCATCATGAATTTTTAGTTGTTAAAAAGAAATTGTTAACTCGGATCTGTGTTGGTCGTGGGTAGGATATATCAGGTACCCATGGACTTTGTTGAGGTGCACACAAGCTAACCTGGACACCAAGGTTAGAAATTTGAAAAGCTGACAAATGTTCTTTAACCATTTTCAACTTTTCTTCTTTAACCGAAACTAAGCACATAATATAATTAAACAGACAAGGGCTATCCAAAATCCAAATGGCTCTAGTCTATGATGCACACATTTTCCACCTAGTAATTTT